GCGGAAACAGGCGGGAAGCGGGCGGGCTGGGACGGCTCTGGTGGCTCAGTTTGGTTTTGTGTCCCCTGCTCTGCCAGGATGCTGGGAGCGTGCGGCATGCAGAGGTGCCACCAGGAAGCATTAAAGAAGAATCGGGTGATGCTGGCCAAGCAGCTGGTTTTAAAAGAACTCATGGAGCATATGATCGAGAAAGACATCATCACCCCTGAAATGGTGGAGATGATACAGGTATGCAGGTCGTGCATGGCTACCCTGCGCCTTCTATTCCCAATTAAGCTCGGTGGCATTCTTGGAAGTGACAGCGTGGTAAGAGTCACATATTTGTTACCGGCATATTTTAATCTGGTTACATTTAGAGAACGTGCACAGCAGCAAGGGGTAAGTCTGCAACACACAGGAGGATTGTGTGCCTGTCGTAGCAGTATAACTGTGGCCTGAGATCTAGATCACTGAACTGCATGGGGCCCTGTAGTTTTGGCAGGCTGCACTTGAAGAGTCGGGTAGTGTCTTTCAGTCCTTAGTTATCTTTTTGTACCTCTGTTTTCTTTTCCACTTGTTAAAGCAGGAATAATATCTGTTCTCAAAATAATTTTGTGAGAAAAAATAAGCAAATATAGCGAGCTTGTTGTGGCAGTTACACTTAATTTATGCAAATAATTTATATTTCAGATGTGTTTTGTAAAATGAAGGAAACAACTTCCTGATTAATTTTGGCTCAGTATGCATCAAAAGGTAGCACAAAATTTCTCTTGCAACTTGTTGAATATACTGACCAGCTAAGGCAGCCTTCCCTGAAATATTTACAATCCCAAATAAACGAGAACAAAGATACAGCAAGATAGTGAAGAAAAGAGGGATGAATCAAGAACTGATGAGATATAGCATGGCTGTAGAGATGTTTCATTACTGGCCTGCAGTCAGTCACTGAAAGGCAAACCCTCTCCAAGTGGGGACAGCGCGAGAAGAAATAGTGTTTGGAGGAAAAAGGCTATTGTATTTAATAAGGTTTAAACCAAGACAGGAAGGAGACCGAGCATCCTGCTCTAGAGATCTAATTAGGTAAAAGGGAATGCAACAATACTTTAGGCAGTACAGAGGAAGAAGATGTGATGGAGAAGTCAGGTATCAGGTAAGTGGAACACCTTTATGAGCAAATGGATATAAGTCCATGTACTTGTAAGAGTTTGCTGAAATACATGTGAATAGCAACAGCAGTCTAAGCAAGAAGATAGAGTAACTTAGACTATCAATACAGAATATGAAGCTGAAAATAGCATAGATAACATAAGATTGTTGGGGCAAGGATTTGGAAAGGAGAAGAACAACTGGACAGAATGACAACTGGAACAGTAGTAATGCAAAATGTGCATTGCACTAGAATGGCAGAATTTAAGGTAGAGGTGGTGTAGGTAGAGGTAGGTGTGTGTAGAGGTAAGGTAGTGCTGATGATAACAGTGCAGTAGATAACATAAACAAGAAATAACATGAATAAACACTTGAGTCAAAAACAAGTTGTCTTATCTTCATTCTTCTGCGTAGTTCTATGAATTTCTGCTACACACTGGGTCAAATGAGAAAAAAGGTTTTAAGAATACTGTTAAGAGAACCATTCATGAAAAATGTACTGCGGCACTAATGGTGGACCTTGGTGGAAATAGGGAGAAACAAATGCCACCATGTTTCCCCTAAATTTTCCTAGGTGATAAAAATCCTACAAACTTTCAAAATCTATCAGTTGTATTGGTCATGTGTTCTGTTTATATTAAATGGAAGAATAAAAAAATGATTCTTGAAACAATTTATATTCTACCTTCTTTAAATAAAGTACTCTTAAGAAAAGTGAAATAATCTGGGGAGTTCAGGGAGCTGAAGAAAGCCTGGAATATCTTCAAATATGAGAGCTAAATCAATTCTGCATCTGTATTACAATCAAAAGAAAGATGAGATGGGAGGAGATTTCAATTAATCTGAAAAGTCTTAATTCTCAAAATAACTCATGTTCTCAGTTTTGATCTATGGCTCAGTCACTGGCCGAATATGTACAAAGTGAAAAGCATTAATGATATTGAGCTTTAAGGTCATAATCAGCTGCTGTCCTGATAGGAAGAAATAATTAATAGGTACTTCAGAATACCAGCTGTCATTTTACTTAATTAGAGAAAATAAAATTCAGAGGGCTTACAGAAAGATAAAATAAAGTGGAGCTGATTATCTTCTGTGGACTAATAAAAAGTGTTTACTGAAGAAATAAGCAAATATTTTATACTTTTTTGAAAGACATAAGTGAGAATAGAGCATGCAATTCTAGTCCTAGTCAGCAGTATTCTGAAAGACAAATTTTCTGTGGAAACAGGAAAGAGTACTTGTATTGTCAAAGGGAAGAGGCCACAGTTATAAGACAAGGTTAAAAGAATGTGTCTTGATTACTCTAGCAAGTGAAGACCGATTTATAGAAAGCAGTTTGTTAAATAAAGGAAAGGAGAGGAGAACACTGAAATCAGTGGACAGTGGTGAATAGGATCATGAGCACTGGACCAACTTAATTTTGCAGCATTGCTCTAGACAATATCATGGGACAAAAGTTGAGCTAGTTCTAAGATCAAGCCTGATACATTTTATAAAAGGGACTTTATGGTGTATGATGATGTTCAGTAACAGGTTTACCAATAAGATTCAAGGCTTTTTTTCCTGGTCCTATGTTTCCATCATTGCTAATGTTGTAACTACCATTAGTGATTGTTTCTGTGTAACTTAAAAACTATTTCTTATCCTCATCAAAAGAGAGATGTTAGATTTAAGTGACATTGATAATGATTACAGTTGTAATCATTACTTTGGTTGACCAAAAAGTGTAGGATGGATTCCATAGAAGTCAAAATAGCTCTGTGAAGCATCCTCAGGAAGGGGATTTTTATATATATATATCTGTGTGTGTGTGTGTGTATTTCCATGTTGTTACTCTTTATTATACAGTAGTATAAATTGCTTCATTGCTCTAAATGTAACATTATACATGTATAGTGTTTTTTTGGAATTAACTGCATAAAGCAAATATTTTATCTAATGCTTTCTGGGGAATTTGTATGAGTGCAGAAGATCATAAACAAGCTATGCAGTAGTGGAAAAACGTGGTTTGGGTTTTGGATGATTACATGAGAGGAAATAGAAATTATACAGACAATAACAGGAAGTGAAAGTTTAGAGATGAGAGGATGTATTGCTCTGTGTGGTCATGTATGAATTGTCATCTTGCTATCTTGTCATATATTCTTTTCCCCCTTGAAATTATGTGAACAGTAGGTGAAAAGAAAGTGGAAAAAATATTAAAAGGAATCTGGCATGGTTGAGTACAGAATGGAACATTAACCTGAAAATAAAAGATTTGTGCTAGTTTTTTTCTGTTTCTTCTCTGGATCTAGGCCAAGTCTGGGAGCTTCAGCCAAAATGTAGAATTCCTCAATTTGCTGCCCAAGAGAGGTCCTAATGCCTTCTCAGCTTTCTGTGAAGCATTACGAGAAACCAAACAGCAACATCTGGAAGAAATTATCTTGAAGACAGATTTCAATCTGAGCAATGAGGTTTCAAGGGTACATCAACTTTAAAAATAAAAGGATGGGCTACATTTGGGGTTGGATATGAGCACAAAGAAGGGCTTGTTTATAAAGGTTAAAAGAAATGAGTATGCAAAAAGGTTAGAGTGGCTTTTATTAGCAAACTGAAACTTGCAATATCCTGAGGTTAAAAGTAGGTGAGAAGGAATTGGAGAGAAAAAAAAAATCCCATGTTCTTGCTGTACCTGAAAGCTGGAAGGAAGATAGTCTTTCTAAAATATTTCAAGTTGTATGTATAAAGATTCTCTGAATAGAAAGATACGAGTCTAATATGAGGAAGGGAGGGACATTTCTTTCCTAATTTTATTTTTTGCTTTGACCTTTTCATTATCTCCAGATGTTAACACTGGATAAAAGGATAATTTAATAAAGATTCAGTATTCTCAGTGCATTGGCAAAGATGGGAACTCACAGTAAGCTTATTTCATACTAAGGAAGAGCAGATTTATTTGAGCAGAGAAGTTCCCTTTTGAAAAATGTAGGCTTTCTCAGACTGTTTTCTCTTTTTTTAAAAAAAAAAATGTGTTATTTCCATGCAAACATGCTGAAATTTTCATAGCAATCTAAGGGAAAAAATGACATTGGTTAGATCAGGTTTTGGCAAAAGGTTCTGAGATTAAAGATGCACAAGGAGGATATGATACCTCAGTCTAATGTTTCCCTATAGGGGATATAGGTAGCAGTCAAGATAGGCAATGTAGCCTATCTTGTCATTATCTGTTATATTTGGATGAGTTTTACGTTTGAAGTCATTTATGTATGTTTATAAATACCTATCTGTTTGCTTCATGATACTTAGTCTTGTGCTGTGGGGAAAAAAAAAGACTTTTGCTAATGATTTCATGGATTTATTGCATCTCTTGTAGCTGAAACACTCTTATGGACCATATCTTTCATTCCCTGTCCTTGAATCATGTAATTCAAAGAGACCACGCTGGACTGGTGAGTTACACATGATAGCATGAATGTTTGGCTGGCTATTTGTTTGATTGCCTGTTATGTTCTTCACACTTTCGTATCTCAATTTTAGAAGCAAACTTGCCAACAGTTTGCTCACCCTAGTAATAGGAAATTGTCAGTGAATTGAGTATATTATGAATGGATGCTGAAGGCAGAATTAAGCAAGAAAATGACGATGGAAGAGCATAGTAGGAGAGAGAACCAGTTTCTAGTCAGCTTCATTCATTTATCCTTATGGGAAACTATTACTTAAACAGAACATGTCAACTGTAAAACCTCAAAATTTTTCAAAGATTTTCAACGTTTTTCTTTGATAGAAATCAGTATTTTGCAATTTACTAATACCTTCTTCCTAGCATATATGTTAAAACAGAAGGCATTATGTAAGTTACATGGGCCCAAATCAGATTTCTGTAGCTTCTGTAGAGTGTAGGAAATGATCATTTTTATAAGCAGGTATTTGTGGCTTGGTCAAGGAACTAGTTGCTAGAACATACCGTCTTGCTGGTTGTTTTATTATCTCTGATAATACCTGGAGTAGTAATGTTTCCTAATCACGTCTTTAGCTGGTTGCTGATTACAGGGAGTTCTTTCTAGTATTAAGGAACAAATGTCTCGGTTAGAAAAGTTTTTTTTAGGTGCAAAGATTCTGCTTTTAGAGCAGATGTTTATCCGAGAGTGCGATGTTTCAAAGGGCTGTGAAAGGATTTCAAAGGAGATCATGAATTTTATTAGCTCAGTTTCTTGAGGATAGGAGAGTGTTTGTCTGCAAATGAAAAGTAACCGATTCTCATTCCCTCATCTGCCTCTATCCAGAGGTAAGGGTTGTTCAGAGACAGATGAACCTAGAAGGACTTTGCCCTATATAGAAGTAAGAAACAACTAGTTTGATCACTTATACGGGTACTCAGTGTAAAACAAGTAGTGAAATTACATCCAGAGAGAATGGGAGGTCTTCTTATGAAAGAAAAAGCATGGTTTTGTTTGACTACTTCTAGTAATGGTCAACCTCACTGTAAAGCGGATAAAAGTAGAAACACAAAGGCACAAAAATGTAATTTTAGGTGTGAATACTGTTTGTATGATCTATGCAACTGAATTTGCTAGGCTTTAATTAAAGTTAAACCACAAACAGGGTAGTAAGTTAAAGCATTAAAAGTATAATTGTAGATATACCATTTCAGTAGTCTTGCTGTTTCCTGTTGTGTTTCACTGTGTGTCTTTAGTCCCTGATCGAGAAACATTTTTAGAGGTACAAATAGTGTAATACAGGAACATGCCTGAAATTTTGCACATGCGTAAGATTTTTTGGCTTAGGACTTCAATGCAGAGACTTTGCAGTTATAATTTTTTTTATTGTTATTAATATACATGTTTCACAAAGAACCAGTGGAACTTTCCTGGGATAATGGAGATGGTCCACCAGTTCCTCCAGTGAAGCACTGCACTCCAGAATTCTATCATGATCACCAGCACTTGGTATGTGGTTGAATAAACAAAATCTTCTCAAAATGTGGAGCTTTTGTATATATCAACTGAAACAACACTATTTACTACTTGCATGGAAGTGTATGTTTTGCTGGGATGTGAATTAGTGTAGTGCCATCTGTGTAACTGAAGTGTTACCACTTGTGTTCCGTTTGATGTAGTCCCCATTTTTAAGTGTGAAGAAATTTTGAGAAGCACTGTAACTCTATACAAATCTATGTGTCTGTTTTTTATTCATGAGGAACTCTTTGAAATTTCTTCTATTTTGTCACGCTCTGTGAGTTGCCTGTTGCCTCGTGGTTATCTATCTTTTTCCTTATCTACTTTCATGCTTGTTCTTCTGTGTGCTGACATACTCCGCAAATGACTGTATGATACTAGGTCTGTGTTTCAGCTTGATGTCACAGTCTTGGATGTTTTAACTGCCAGCTGGCTTAGGAAGAGTCTTTCCTTAAACACAAAAGCTAGGTCAGAATTCTGTGCTGCATCTGGTAGAACAACTGAATTCTTCTCTGTAATTGTAGATACTGTGTAGATAGTGTAATTATTTTTTGTTTACTGTATTTATAGTGCACAGGTTGTGGTGGGCTGGGCATAAGGAAGATGAGTCATTTTGTGTAGCAGGGCAAATCTTCTAGTAGAGAAACATAATGTGTTAACACTTACTGCTTCTATCACAGATTATATATGCGTGAAAACATTTTTTTTTCTTTTGGGGAGACCTAATTAGAGTGCATCAGTGAATGCCCAACTTTTTTTACATATTTTTACATCTGTCTGGTTACACCTTATTTGTCATCCTCTTTCAGTATTCATTTTCAATTGAAAGCAGTGTTAGTAACCAGTTTACTATCAGTTTGTTGCTGTTAGAGTCAAAGTGACAAGGAGGGAACTACGTTCAAAGATAACCTCCTTAAGTTAGGGTTTTTTTGTTTTTTTCTTTTTCCTCTGTTAGTGTTTTTAGCCAGCCTTGTAACTCTCAGGATCAGTAATTGACAGTGTCTTTCTGTTCCAGTTGAACTTGTGTTATTTTACATTTTTACATGCTCTAGACAGTAATTAAGAAATATTATCTAAAATTTATGTAATATCCTAAGGATGTTCATGGGTATGACTAAAATATGTGGGGTCATGTTGGGGGTGTGTCTGGGGGAAGGGGAAGGAAGTTAGCAAGATTTTGCAATTTGAAAGAAAAGAAGATATTACAGTGTCTTAATAATGCAGCTTTACAGGGACATCAGCTGCAGAGACTTGCAGAAAAAGTTGCTTTAGGACCCATTATAATATAATATAAACATTTGATATATTAAAAAACTTCCAAAATTTAGCCTCTGCTTTTGCATCTTCTCCAATTGTACACGTTTTCAGTATTCAAACAGGTGTGCAGGGATTTCTATTTTACTCTGAAGCTGTATTACTTCCTTGTGCAGGCTAATTTTACCTATGTTAAACCTTCTTTACTCTTCTCAGGCATATAAACTGATATCAGAGCCACGAGGCCTTGCACTTATTCTCAGCAATATGCATTTCAGTAGCAAAAAGGACTTGGAGTACCGCTCAGGGGGAGATGTGGACTGTACGGCACTGGAGATGCTTTTCAAATATCTTGGGTACAAAGTGACTGTCTATCATGATAAAACTGCACAGGTAAGTGGATGATTGCTTACTTCACAAGTTTAATAAGGAACTAACATAAGGAAGTCTTTTGTGTTGTGAATTTGATGTATTTGTTGGGTTTGTTTCACAACAAGCAGGCCATTTTCATTTGTCCTTAATACATTCATCCATTTCCCTGTGCAAATCTGGGAAGCATTAAACACTTTGTTTCTCTCTCTTCCAGGAAATGCAGGATATATTGCAGAGATTCTCTAAGAGGCCAGAGCATCGGGATGTGGATTCCTGTATTATAGCCTTACTCTCCCATGGTGTGGAGGGCGGGGTTTATGGCACTGATGGCAAACTACTACAGGTATGCTCCTGTGACCTGACGTACTTTAGAATCCATTGTTACTTTCCAAGACAGAAAGAAAAAAATTAGGAGGGGAAGTGATGGGGAGACTGAGAAGCTACTTTTTTAGAAAAGGAGAAATAAGATCATGTGGGAAGCAAAGTGTGGCAGTGTGGTGAGATAAGGAAGAGTATAGAAATAGGGCAGATAGGAAGCAATTATTTCATTCCTTCTTCCCATACAAGTACTAGTGTGCGTGAAATGAAACTTACAAAAGTAAGGTTGAAAACCGAAAAAAAGATGTTTGCGGCACAGTGAATAGTTGATCTGGGAAACTTCTTACAAAAAGATGTTAATAATACAAAATGTTTTTATGGGTTCAGGAGGAGGCTAGATATGTTCATAGGTGATACTGGAAGTTACAAAATACGTAGAAACCACCTCCAACTGAAAAAGTTGCTGAACTAAAAATGGGGGAATGAGTATTAGTGTGATCTGTCAGGTATAATTGCCTTGATTTTATACTCTTTCGTGGGTATTTGTGTGGCCACTGTCAGAAACAGTATACTGGGCTAGAAAGTCCTTCATTCTGACGAGTGAGATTACCTGGAGGAGAATTAAGTAAGTGAAATAAAGGGGAAATAGCAAGAATAGTGAGATAGTATCCAAAATACAGTGAAATAAAGTGAACCATTTAGGTTGTACATCACAGAAGGCTGCAGTGAAGAATACTTACCTTCTTTCTGCTCTTAGTTGCAGGAGGCTTTCCGGCTCTTCGATAATGCAAACTGTCCAAATCTCCAAAATAAGCCCAAAATGTTCTTTATTCAGGCCTGCCGGGGAGGTGAGTGCCCAAATACTAAAAGCAATGTATTTGGCCTGCCATTAAGGTACACTTGCACACCTACACACCCTCACATTCAACTTGCTGTCACCTCTCCTCTTTCAGGAGAAAAACTTCTCTCAGGTGTAAGTGGAACCCCTATTCACCTCCCTCTGCCCTGCTGCTGCCACTGCATCTGTTGCTCTGTAAGTGTCTTTTGCTCTGCATGAGGTGTGTGCATTGACTTGCAGACCCCAGAGCACCTTTGAAATGGAAAACCCTTTCATATTCTATATCATATACTGAAACTTTCTCTTGCTATGCCCGCAGTAGAGGTAGTGAGGCATATGGTGTTCTAATTACAGCACAGCACAAAGTCGTATATTAGCACCGAGATCTCGTCTGAGGTCCTGTCTTACCCCTGATCCTACATATGTTGCATCTTTTGTGGTGATGTTTCTTGAGTTGGCTGGAGGTCTTCCCACTCCTGCCCCTTTTTGTGCTCTCTCAACCTTTAGCTGTCCTTTCCTTATGCCCTTTTTCACATAATATTGTATTAAAGAATTCTTTCCTTAATTCTCATAGACTTGTGGCTTTGTCACTCTTCCTGTTCTTATTGTTTATTTTATCATTTCTACTAATTATTTTGTTCCTTTTGTAACTAAATATGGTGTGTAAAAAGCTAGCTTTCAGATCTGCTAATAGTTAAATTTTCTTTGAAATGTTTGTGCTTTTTGAGCACTGCTGTGAAACTGCTGATACTCCAAAGAGAACTTCTGTCATGGAAAACTTTTCTTGTTTTTTTCCTCTTGTGATAGAGAAGCCTAGAATAGCCTTTGTAGTGTGTATGGTTTTTTCCTTTCTCTTCCTTTGTCCCTTGGAAATTCCTTCCTTCTTTTTCACTTTTAGCTGAGCTTTGTATTTTGTCTTCCACCCAAGTGCACATTTGATTCAACTGTTATCTACACTAGTTTAATTTTAATGCAAAAAAAGTAATCTCTCCAATAAAAATTTTAGATATATATATAAATATATTATAAATTTATATATAATGTATATACCATATATATTAAATATATATAAATATATAAAAATATAAAAATCCTTACTGCATTTAAGAATACCGCAATATGTGTGTTTACAAAATGAGTTTAATGTGATTGCTTTCCTGATGTTATTTAACTATCAGATATTTAACTATCAGACATGAATGTAGAGTCTCCTTTCAGTGTAGAAATAAGTATAATAAGCCAGTATTGGCAGCTTGCCTAATTTTTTTTTGACTGTAATGTTACAACAGTTGTTCTCTCTACGTAAACAAAATAGGCTTGACCTTCCTTTTCCCAAGAAGGTTTTAGTTAGGAAAGAGTAAGAAGCTTTCTCTACAAAATGCCGTAGACCAGGATATTGCAGTAGACAAACAACTATGATATCAAAAGTAGGAAACTTCTAGGGCTAAGCATCATGTACTCCCATGCTTCTTGATGTACAACCGAAGTATTTGCTTTGTCCATTAGTCCTCAGTCGGCATAGTAAGGGAGGGAAGAAAAGTTCAATCAGCATGCAGATTAACAGACTCATGAAACTGAATAGTTTCAATACTTGTTGATATCTACATTAGTTTGTGCAGAAGTACTTGCAGATAAGTTTTTAAAACTGCTGATAAAGCTAATAGCTAATGCAAATCTTTCTGCTCTGCAACAGTTATGGGATTGCTGACGAGGATTTAAAGGTAATGATGGAATACAGGAAAATTATATCCTAGAATTTTCGATAATTTCTCCCCTTCTGTTTTTTTTTCCCCTTCCCCTCACTGTTCCCCCAGATGAGGCAGACCGGGGAGTGGATCAAAGAGATGGAAAAGAATGGTCACATTCCCCAGGCTATGAAGAAAGTGATGCAAACAAGGAAGAAAAAGTCAAGCTGCGTCTGCCTACATGCTCTGATATGATCTGCGGATATGCTTGTCTGAAAGGTACTAGGGAGAGGCCTTGTTTCTTCGGGCCTACAGAGTTGTGTTTGCCTGTCTTCCCAGGAACTTCATCATGTACACTGTTTATTCTCAGGCACTGCTGCCATGCGAAACACCAGGCGTGGATCCTGGTATGTGGAGGCTCTCACCTCTGTATTTGCAGAGGACTCCCGAGACACTCATGTGGCTGACATGTTGGTGAAGGTGAGTTAGAGTATCTTTCCTGTCCCACATTTACTAGGTTTCTGAAGATCCTTTCATTCCTTCAACTTGCTAGGATAAATCTACTCTTAAAGCCAGTGTTCTTGTCCTCTTCTTTGCAAAGTGATTACTTTCTACTGCATTAATAAACAGAGAACTGCTCGTCATGGTTATTGATAGCAGTTAGAATTAAGAATTAACAGAGGAGGACTGGTGGGAGATGTGGTGGTAGGAGGCAGTCTTGGTCATAGTGAACACAAAATGCTAGAGTTTTCAGTTCTTGGTGGAGTCAAGAGGGGTGTCAGCAAAACTGCTACCTTGGACTTGCAGAGGGCAGATTTTGGACTGTTTAGGACATTGGTTGGAAGAGTCCTTTGGGAGCCAGTCCTGAATAGCAAAGGGGTCCAGGAAGGCTGGACAATTCTCAGGAAGGAAATCTTAAAGGCACAGGAGCAGGCCATGCCCACGTGCCTAAAGACAAACTAGCATAGAGGAAGACCAGCCTGGCTGAATAGGGAACTATGGCTGAGACTCTGGAAGAAAAAAAGAGAGTTACCACCTTTGGAAGAAAAGGCAGGCAATTTAGGAAGAGTACAAGGACATTGCTTAGCGTATACAGAGAGGAGATTAGAAAGGTGAAAACTCAGCTGGAACTCAATCTGGCCACCATTGTAAAAGACAACAAAAATGTTTCTATAAATATATTAACAAGAAGAGGAGGGCCAAGAAGAATCTCCATCCTTTATTGGATGTGATAGGGAACTTTTTTACCAAGGGGAAGGCTGAGGTACTTAATGCCTTCTTTGCCTCAGTCTTCAACATCCAGATCAGTTCTCCTCAGGATACTTGGCCCCCTGAGCTGGAAGACACCCTTGGGGAGCAGGAGAAACCCACCATAATTCAGGAGGAAACACTCAGTGACCTGCTACTCCACCTGGACACTCACAAGTCTGGGGGGCCAGATGGGATCCACCCAAGGGTTCTGAGGGAGCTGGCAGAAGTGCTCATCAAGCCTCCCTCTGTCATCTATCAGTGGTCCTGGTTAACAGGGGAGGTCCTAGGTGACTAGAGACTGGCCAGTGTGACACCCATCTACAAGAAGGGGCAGATGGAGGATCTGGGAAACTACAGGCCTGTCAGCCTGACCTCAGTATCAGGGAAAGTTATGGAGCAGATCAGCTTGGGGACAATCAGACAGCATGTGCATAACCACCAGGGGATCAGGCCCAGCCAACATGGGCTCATGAAAGGCAGGTCCTACCTGACCACCGTGATCTCCTTCTATGACTGAGTGACCCACCTAGTGGATGAGGGAAAGGCTGGGCTTGGTCTACTTAGACTTCAGGAAGGCCTTTGACACAGTCTTCCACTGCGTTCTCCTGGAGCTCATGACTTACACAGGTGGACTCTTCAGTGAGTGAGAAACTGGCTAGATGGCTAGGCCAGAGGGTAGTGGTGAATGGAGTTAAATCCAGCAGGCAACCAGTCATGAGTGGTGTTCCCCAGGAGTCAGTGTTGGGGCTGGTTCTCTTTAATATCCTTATCGATGATCTGGATGAGGAGATTGAGTACACCTGCAAAAAAATTGCAGATGACACCAAGATGGGAGGAAGAGTTGATCTGCTTCAGGGTGGGAAAGCTTTACAGAGGGATCAGGACAGACTGGATTGATGGGCTAAGACCAACTCTATGAGGTTCAGCAAGGCCAAGTGCTGGATCCTGCACTTCTGTCACAACAACCCCATGCAGCACTGCAGGCTTGGGACAGTGTGTCTGGAGAGCTGTGTGATGGAAAAGGATCTGGGAGTGTTGGTTGACAGCCAGCTGAACATAAGCCAGCAGTGTGCCTAGGGGGCCAAGGCAGCCAACAGCCTCCTGCCTTGTGTCAGGAACAGTGTAGCCAGCAGGACCAGGGAAGTGATTGTCATGCTGTACTTGGCACTGGTGAGGCTGCACCTCGAATACTGTGTTCAGTTTTGGGCCCCTCGCTACAAGAAAGAAATTGAGGTGCTGGAGCATGTCCAAAGAAGGGCAACGAAGCTGGTGAAGGGGCTGGAGAGCAAACATTATGAGAAGCAGCTGGGGTAGTCTGGAGAAGAGGAGACTTGGGAGACCTTATTGGAGGTTGTAGTCAGGCAGGGGTCTCTTCTCCAAAATAACTACCAATAGCACAAGGGCAGATGGCCTCAAGTTGCACCAGAGGAGGTTCAGGTTAGATATTAGGAAAAATTTCTACATGGAAAGAGTAGTCAAGCATTGGAACAAGCTGCCCAAGGAAGTGGTAGAGTCACCATCCCTGGTAGTGGTCAGGAATTGTATAGATGAGGCACTTAGGGACATGGTTTAGCAGGCTTAGTGGTGATGGGTTTACAGTGGACTTGATGATCTTGAAGGTCTTTTCCAACCATAATGATTCTGTGATTCTAAGGGTAGAGTTACACAGCAGTTTAATCAAAGAAGTGGTGTGTTAAACGCTGTGCTTTAACTCTTTCTTTTGTACTTGTGTGACCACCTGGTGAATTTATGAGAGAATTAATTTGGTTTAAATGCAATCACTTTTCTTATATAGTGATTAATTTTATTTTTCTGATGAGTTAATTCCCTAAACTCTCACTACATAGGTGCAAGCACTTGAACTAATGCTGGTTAAGAACAGAGGGGAAGTCAACACTATAACTGATAACCTGATCTGATGTAGAAATACACTCTAGTTCTGTATCCTTCTTGTAGTTTAGAAAAGCAGCATACAGGACACTACTTGATAAGTCGCATAAAGTAACTCATGAGTAAGGCAAGTGATGACACTTTCCATAATTCTGTCTTATTAATCTTTCCATTTTTTTTTTTCTCATATTTAGGTGAATAGACAGATCAAACAAAGAGAAGGTTATGCCCCAGGCACAGAATTTCATCGCTGTAAGGAAATGTCAGAATACTGTAGCACACTCTGTCGGGACCTTTACCTGTTTCCTGGCTATCGAGCACAAAATTAACCCTGCCAGTTCTGCGAAAGAGTTATACTGCCAAAGCTGGACTCTGAGGATGGATGTCTTCGTTTCCCTTCTTGTGGGCTTTGATGTCAGATGCCCAAGCAAGGAAGGCTTGTTTATGTGTCACCAGACCAATTCTAGAAGTCTTTTTCTAAAATAATCTGGCAATTATTGGTGATTTGGGACATTTGTAAGCAACATGAATGCAGAAAAGGAAACTGACTATTTGTATAGATTTTGGGGAGAGTCTTTCAGAAATGAAATTTATTCATAAGTTGCTATTTATGCTTTTATGTCAACATTTTAAAATATTTTTTTGCTTGGTTCTTCATGCAGCACAGTTAGACCTGTGCACATTAAAAAAGGAGTCCTTTGTGAAAGAGAACCCTTCTCCTTCCTAACATGTTATTGTTTCAGTACTTGACACTTCACAATTAAAGTCTGACTTTGCATATATTCCTTCTGTAGCCAAGTTACCAGAAAAACCACAAGACATCCCCAATTAGCAGGAAATTAAATGGAGATACAGAACTCCCAGTATGCAAAAATGAGGCTCCATAAACTCCCTCAGAAATGGTTTTGAATCTAGAAATTCTAAATTAGTTCCGCTTAGTGCTAGATGTGAACAGGTGTGTGGAATATCACTTTGAATTACTTTGCCATTTTTTTTGCCATTACTTTGCCATATTTACTGTGCCAAGTAACTACAGCATTCAGACACTCTATCCATTCAAACACTTCTCAGCAGCTTATAAATTCCACTGTATGACTGAAACACTTCAAGTGTGTACAGAAGGATGTCATCTTTTGTTTGTTTAGTTAACAAAATTACTCAAGGCAGCTCTTTACAGTCTAAGCATATTCCTTGGATTTATGTAGTTTGTTTCTCTTTTGTTTAAAAGGGAAGAGTTTCACATTATAGTTACCCTTATTCTGTGAATTTTCTTCCTTCAGTCATTATCATTTAAAGCTGTTTGAGCTAGTATTGTTTGCAAATGCCATTGTAACTGGAGAAGAGAAGACTGAGAGGGGATCTGATCACTATTTATAAATACCTGAGGGGAGAATGTAAAGAAGGTGGGGCAAACCTCGGTGGTGGCCAGTGACAGGACAAGAGGTAATGGGTATAAATTAAAACACAGGAAGTTCCATCTCTGTATGAGGAAGAACTTATTTCCTGTGAGGGTGACAGAGCCCTGGAACAGGTTGCCCAGAGAGGCTGTGGCATCTCTTTCCTGGAGATCTTCAAAACCTGCCTGGATGCCACCCTGTGCCACATGCACCCGGTGTCCCTGCGTGTGCAGGGGGGTTGGACTAGCTCATCTCTACAGGTCCCTTCCAACTTCAACTGTTCGGTGATTCTGTGGTCAATCAGAAATGCAGTGGCATAATCCCATCACATCTTTTGGAAGTTCATTGTGCATTCTCTTCATACTGTGATTTGCCTCATTGTCCTGCTTCAGTTTCTGCCATGTAATGTGATGGGGGGGAGATGGGCATTGTGCTGTTTTGTGGTAGCCTAAATATCCTGGATTATATACTGACTGCATTCTGTATACTTGAGTCTCTGTCTTCTCTATTCTATTACAGTAGGTTGATAGTTCCTGCCTTGTTCTTTTTATGTTTTTTTTTTTAATCTTTGTTTCAAGATAATTCTCTATTCCTTGTTCTTTTTATGTTTTTTTTTTAATCTTTGTTTCAAGATAAAATTATGAATAGGAAGCACAAAGGGATGCAGATTATCTTGCATACAACATATGATAAGCAGATCGAGGATCATACTTGCTAGCGAAGATCATACTTGCCAATGGATGCCTTATTCTAACATTAGGATATCAATCTAGAGGAGTTGTTTCTCCCTGGACTATAAACATTTTCTTCCTGAGTGCTCCTTCTGTGTAATGATGCAATACTGTACAGATATGTGTATTGATGAAGTACTCCATTCTGATGGAATACCTTTCTGTAGGATTGCATCAGCTTGCATTATCACTGCCACTTTCGTATATACTTTTTGTATACCTATATTTTACTCCCTTGACTGTCAAAATAAAGCACTGTTGTTTGATTAATCTGTACTGTATCTTTGATTTGGAGGAGTGTATCTCTGCACAGAAATGGGACTTCTATATAAGGAGAAATTTGCATAATTTCTTGATATAGTATCTTTCAAACTGCAGCAGTGCTCAGTCGGGAAGGAATATGTATTGATGGGTACCCAATGCATGAGGTCCTGCAGAATCTTGAATAAATTCAGCGTTATCAGTCTATTGTTGTAGGAAAACTGTGATTAAATCCCAATTGATTAGGCTGACAAAGTAGACATTAAAAGTATCTTAATTATTTTTTGCTTTCATATACCTGTCTCTGCAAAGTTGCAAATAATATAAACAGTTGCTCTGAATGTATTTTTCTGTCACTGTCATTTCATTACCACAACAAGGTGGTATCTTGATTTTCAAATTCACGCAACGATGTGCGCTCCTGCAGGCTCAGATGATGAGTCTTTCAAATAAGGAATCTGAATGGAACAAAGTCCTTACATAAAGGAACTTTTTATTTCAAACACCAGTCTCTTCACTTTGGGAGATTGTCAAGAAGAAAATAGGTAAAATACATGCATATACCCTAGTGCTGAGGATGAGGGGGAGACTTAAATTATGAACACTACCAGGCAGCAGATAACTTGGTGTATGTGCAACTGAATCTCAGAAATAACTTTTGAACTCTGAAGCAGAAAGCGGCTACTTACTAGTTGTAAACAGTTAGGACTAGTTGTAAATTTTGGTGACACTTGAACTAAATTAAAGTTAATAAATTGAGAGAGACATGAGGCAGAACCACAATTTGGGAGATTGATCATGTGTTACAGTTTTCCACTTGGACTGTATAGATTGGGAAATTTGGGGGCCTAGTATTCCAGAAAGAAAGGGTGGTGCTGAAAAAGCAAAGCCTCCTAAAAAAAATAATAGTAAGGTAGAAGGGGGCACAGAAAGGTGAAGATTTGGCTGGAGGAAAGATCCTGGAAGTGGGGGAAGAGCCAGGAGGTGAGAGAGCTGCACAGAGATGAATACAAGGGATCCTGACTGGTGATGCCCGAGACAGCTAACTGCAGCACAGAACAAACACTCGCTCTCAGTGCCACCTTAACAGATCAGAAGTGATCTCCCTTCAAGTGAGACCTAGAGAAGGTCATACTGAGGGGGAGCCAAGGGTAAATTTTGTTGTTTCTTAAATAAACCACAATATCCAAATCCACTATGGATTGTCACTTTCTCTGTGTCACTTGTGACACTTAGAAAGCTCTTTTTTTTTTCTGAGCTCTGTGCTTGTGGAAAGAGATTAGTATATTAGTGATACCAAATGCTAGTACAAGAAATCTAGTAATTATGTGGAGTAGTGAAATCATAACATCAACCGGTACAGAAAGTGTTTGTAGTATTACAATAGTTAAAGTAAACAAAATATTTTCATTTTTAGAGAAATAAGCTTTAAACTACCAACAAAGTTTAATGAACAACTTAAATAGTTGACTGGTTTACATTTTGGCTTACAAAAAAAAAAAGGTAAGAAGAATTTCCAAAATTTTGTCTTGTTCTATTTTGTTTTGTGGAAAGGGGGAGTGAATGAAACTGCATATAGATAAGGTATTTTGCAAATCCACATCGAATCAAAATCACTGTTAGTGGAACAATTCAGGAAATTAATATGACTTTAGTTATTTCACATTACTTTTCTTTCCCCTGTTGTCCTTATAAAAAGTGATAAATAATTCAATTTAATAAAAATAACCATTGATTTTAAAAAGTACAGAATAGCATTGAAAAATGGTATGCTTGCAAAAGCATCAAAAGATTTGTTTGACAATCTATAAAATATTTTGTAAAATAAAATTTGTGCTTAGCTGAGAATCCATCTGTACACTGTTGACATGTTGCAGGCAGCAGTGTATTGTCGTATTCTTGTCGTCAGGGTATGAGAATTCTTTGCTCATTGAATTGCTAAACTTAATGAAATAGACAAAAAGAAAATACCATTTATGTAATGGATCTTCTTTATTACACAGTCCTAATGTGAGCAGAGCATAATGTATGGAAAAGTTTCTTTTAAAGGGAAAGAATGATGCAATAATCTCCAGAGAGGATATAATTAACCATTAAGGTATTAATAGTGTTGGTCTGGTTTAGCTTCATGAAGAACACTTGAAATGCTATTTGGCCTAGTGCTGTGGCTATTGCTAACTCACCTCGTGGTTACCTCTTGTAAAGCATCAGTGCTGCCCTTCATCTGCTTTGGTGCCTGTTACATATCACTAAAAGTGTCCTGGCTATTTTTGCATTAATTACTCTGTGTTAAGAAGATACCTCCTGTTTAACTCACACCATCGTTCAAAGAATTCAGAGTTACATTCACACTTCTCTACCACATTCACATTTCTCTACCTTGCAAAATATAATTGAAATCATAGGGTTTTAGGTTTGATTTCTTTTTTTTCTATTACCACTTCTAGAAGTTATGATCTTAAACTACAAAGAAAACACGATTCAGCTTGACAGTAATACTTTGGAAGAAAACATGCTTTGATGAAAATGAGTATGTTCCTATATTGTGAAATTATCTAGATTTTGGTCTGCTATATGCTAAGGTTGTTTAAAAAATACACAAACTAGAATGGCATTAGTACACCGGAGTTTCTTAGAATGCCAGAAATAACATAAAGCATTGGAGGAAAAAGGTCATACTGAGTATAGACTTAACATTTCTAAGTTGAATTCATATAGAAATAATTCAAACTTATTTAATAAGAGGGAACCACCTGGAAAGCTATGGTGTTGCCTCAAGTAGGTATCCGCTTTGCATAGATACTTAATTTCCCAGAATAAAAAGCTTTGCAGATAAGAGAGGGAAAAGCAACAAGTGTGAAAAGAACTGTAGCCCATATTACCTGTTCTGCTACTCAGATCTTGCTGCTGCCTCCCTGCAGATGTAATGGTTCCCATTACTCATCTGTGTTCTGTTTCTGAAGACAGTAGTCCAAAGCAGCTTTGGCCTGGTTTTAGCTACAACAATTTGGGTATCTTTAGTATCGTTACTTCATTGTTTTCAACTTTTATATTTAAATATGATTTCTAATTAGATATTAAATATATATGATTATTTTTATAT